CTATTAAAGATTTGACAGAGGGAGGATTCCCTTACAGAGCTGATGTATGAGTGTAAATTGCAGAAACAAATACAAAAGGATTGCCCTTTGTTTTTAGGGGCTGCTACACTGAAAGAGACTGCTAATAAAAACATGAATCAACTAAAACAAATCCCCAGCCTATCAGTAGAACTTGCATTTAGAATAGACTGAGCAAGACAAATAGGAAATGACTTAAGCATCAAGGTGACTTTCATCTGAGAAGTTTCCTAGGTCTGCTAGGTCATTGGGGAAATAATTACAGTCAGAGGAAAGGAAAAACAAAGAAGCAAGCCCTTGCGAGGCCAGATGGGCAGGCACCAAATGGCAGCGTAGGGGCAAATAGCAGCAAGGTGTTTGCCAATAATGCAATGCAAAGCTTGTATCATACTGAACAAAGGCTGAGATTATTGGCATTTGAAACACATTCATCACCAGTATCCATCTGGGGGAAGACTGCATCAATAGTACTTTTTCTTGCTGGATTTGCAGTCTTTGGTGACATGAGCTTGGCTACTGAGCTCCACAGTGACTGCTCTCTCCCCTGGCTGAATTTTAGCCTGTATGTAGCTCAGTTATGAGATTCTGTACAGTCTCTCCAACTTTATGAGGATCCTGCTTCAATCTGGAAAAGAAGTCTCTTTGGGCCATCTTCTATTATCAGCGCTGCCCAGTTGAACATTTCTGTTGTTCCTCTGAATGCAACGGTGTTCATCAAAATGTTGCCTTTTTTATTGCTCAGATTTGAACACATATTTTCTGGCTTTTTCTTTCATTTAGTGAACAGTGGCTCTAACGGAAAAAGCTCATACATTTTTTGTCTAGATCTAGAGGAATTAATTTCTTGTGTAATATAGGAAAGTTGCCTTCTACCTTGTATCTCTGCTGGGCAGTGGGTTTCACCCCTGATTTTAAGCCCAGTGGACAGGGAAAGGTGAAAGTCCCATTCATTACGTATGATGCCATTGTGCTTTTTGAAAATAAGTTGAAGTCTCAAAAGCAGGTGGCAGTAACAAGCACATTGATTTCATTTTAATGGGATTTGTGTCTCTGAGTTGCCCAGGCTACTTTGAAAATCCTCATGATTGCGTTCTGTGTTACGGCAGGTCTGGGAGGGAGACTCTGAGGGCAATGTCATTGCCTTCTCCAGGCACCCGGCTCCCCTTGCTGATACAGCACCTTCTGCTTTCCAGTTTTTAACAAAAGCTGTAGAGCTTGAAGGTCCGCACCTATCAGGCATCAGTGCTGTACTCACTAAGCTGTGCCCTGCACCAGACGCATTCAGGCGTTACACATCCAATTGCTACGTACAAGATGGGAGATAAAGGGCCAGGCTTATTTGTGCATATGGGGTGAACCACTTCTGAATGAGTCTGTGCAGCTTCTGCCTGCATACATCGAGTCCTGCTGAAATCCCACAGCAGCTCATGGAAAAAGCCTTCCCTTACCCTGAGCAGCAACAGGATTGGGCCCATGCTGAACAAACCTGCTCCACAGATGTTCACCTCCTACCTGCACCTGTCCACCCGCCGCAATATCAAGCGCTCTAATAACAGCAGTTGTGTGGTTCTCTTTGCTTCACCTGAACATCTGCTGAGCAGTTCTAGCACAGCATGGAAGAGCATTATCTTGCTTTACAGCTTATCTTGTACTAACAGCGTCAGAAATACCAGCCATCAATATGCTCCCTCTTGAGAGCAAGCCAGTCGCAGGTGTGTCAGCTGGCTACAGTTATCTTCACAGACACAGACTCCTTTTGTGTCAGCTCATCATAACTGCAAATCTATGTAGTCTTAACATTATTTATTGCCATACGCCTGAACCAGGTGACCTAATCAGTCTGGGGTTTATGGTTCATATGAAGGTTCATGTGAAGAATAGTAACTGATGTTAGTCAGAAAAGAAACATCCGAGGCTTTGAACAAATTTCCATTAAAATATGGTTTTCATATTATGACATTTATTTCATGAAACATTAACTCCATTTTCTGCAGGCTACTGTAACATTTAAAGGTTTTTCTCTCACTTTGGCATTACTAGATAACTGTAATAACGCAGAATATATCGTAAAGTTTACAGAGAGCTGTAAGTCTGAAACAATGTTACAGCTCAAAAATAGAAATGAAACAAAGTCCAAAGAGAAAACTGTCAATGAAAATTGGTAGAAATTGGATATGTATGTAAATTACAAAAAGTCATCTACCAAGATTCATAGGGCAAATAACTCCAGCTACTATTACTTGGTCCCGAAAAGGAACATTTCATTGAAAGTGCTGCTGTTAGAGAAATGAACTGATGAACATAAATTGAACATAAATGGCTGCAGGCAAACTCGAATACCAAACAAAAAACGAGCGGTTTTATACGTATGTGCGTGCACACAGTGTTATATACATACAAACGTCTGCAAGTCTCAGGAATGGATTGGGATAGCCAAGGATTCCCAGCCCAGCAAGCTTACCACCTGTAAATCCCTCAGCCACCCTTCCTAGGGATGGAGACACTCCCAGGCTACAGGCGATGAGGCCCATCCAGAATGGGGTCTGACCACTGCTCAGGATGGGATGTCAACTGCAGTCAGAGAGAAAAGGGATGGAAGCATGAAATCAGGCTCTGAACTTCATGCCATGATAACTGATTAACAATATTAGGCTGTTATATAAGTTATTATGTAAAGTATTAGGCCAAAATCTGATACATTTTTAAATCTGGAGTTTACCCCATTATTTGTGATAGTAAAGGGGAAAAGTGAGGTTTTATCTTATTCCTTCTCCCTTCCCATTCTTTGCTTAGTCCCTGCTGTATTGCCAGGTGCTTCCTTGAATTAAATCCTTCCCCTAAGGGCACCTGTTAATTAATGTTTAAAAGACCTATAAAACCATGTATATACATGTGAACATATAAACATCCCTCCTCCTCCCATCCACATAGATGACATAAATTTTTCTCTGCAGCTTCCTAGAAACCATACTAGAGATGTGGTATTTAAGAGTGAATGTGGCTAACGTTTATTAGACTTGAACTGTATTGTGGGTAATTGTCCAGTAATAACCTTTGGTAAATTATATGAAGCCTTTACTTTACTTAACAGGGAATGCAGGCTCCCCAAACTCTAATATTATCATCATTCAAGATAATGAGCAACACAAACCATTCTATTACCAATCTAAAAGCAATAAATGTCAAAGTAAAGAACTATGCAATATTCTGGCCTGGAAGAACAAAGGACAGAAGTAATGATAATGCCTTTTTATATTAGCAGTCTATTATATCATGCATAACAAATGACCCTGTAATTGTAGACGGTGTTATTTTAACAGGTTGTAAAGAGAAAATGGTGGGGGTGGAAAGGGGGTGTTTGGAACACTGCCCTGAAAAATGCTGTGGGGTTGGTAAATCGGAATACCTGATAGTTTAGTTGAATTTTATCCTGGTGAGTACACTGGATTATTCTGAAGCAGTTTTGTTTATCACCATGATCATCTAGAGCTCTGCAATGTGACACCAAGATCCTTGTTTGCCGCGTCGAGGGTTTGACAAATAACTTGGTGGTAGCCCCAGTTCTCCTCTGACACAAGCACAGGCAAGGACAACAGTACGTTTTAAAACACAGGTTATTGATTTATGGAAATTCCTCATTTGGGCATTTATAGACCATCCAGAGGTCACACAGTGTTTGGGCATACATTCATTATGAGCCTTGAGGATTACAGCAAGTAATGGGCGCTCTCTACTGCTGCACATATGGTGGTATAAATTCAGGTACTCATGGATTTATAGAGTTACTCTACTCAATTATTTTATAAACAAAGGAGAATCTAGTCAGCTGTTTGATCAGCATTTAGAGTAGTTTTTTTTCCTTAAATTAAGGGTGAAGGAAATCACCTGAAACTCAGGAAGCCCTCAGCTACCCCTTTGTAAAAGTAACATCATTCTTACTTTCATAGGATCATAGAACAGTTAAGGTTGGAAGGGACCTTAACAATTATCTAGTTCCAGTCCCCCTGATACAGGCAGGGACAACTTCTAGACCGGGTTGCTTAAAGCCCTATCCAGCATGGCATTGAACAATTCCAGGGATGGGGCAGCTTCTTGCACCTTATATTCATTGCCTGTTTTGAGAAAGACTTTTTGCTGAACAGGTGCTGTCTCTTAGGTTGTGTGTGTTTCATGTTAACATGTGAAAGTCTACAAAGCAAGACATGTGCTAAAACAAATATTTAAATGGTACCATTCTCTGTGTGTTGAAATAATTAATTCATGCAGCTGTGGTGTACTAAGGAAGCCATTAACACAAGTAACAATTATACTGTAGTTCTCATTCGCTAATATGCACAGTCAAATACTGTTCATAAGTACCTAGGCCTGAAGTAAATCCATCCATCCTGCTCTTGCTTTAGGTCTGCACTTGTGGTCAGGAGAGTGTGATTGAGCTGTAAGGGGAAAAGTTAAGAGTTCTTTGTCCAGAAATGAGCCCTCTGCTGACATTATATTGCCTTCTTACTCATGTGATTCTTTGCTTTCCCTCCCTTGCCCAACACATCAGATCTATCCAAGATCCCATCTCCCATTAGATTAGGACCCTTTAGGGTCAAGCCCTGTACGGTTTCAAGTAGGTAAAATTCTACTCTGACTTGCTTTGGTGCTTTGTAATCAGCCGGCATAGAGACCATAAGTGACAAACTTTGAACTGAATTAACCTTGCTTGTATTACCTTTATTAAGCTGGTTTTAAAAGTTGCCCTTGGCGTATGTGTGCTGTTTGTAGAGTCACATTACTTCACCACCTCAAAAATGAATTCACAGCAGTGCTTGTTGGAGAGAAAGCAGGCCCTCATAACAAAGATGTAAAATTTAGGTCTGCATTGGTGCTGCTGAACAGAAGTGACAGAAAAAGATAGCAAGCAGTTACTTTACATAGCTCTTTCCTTCTTAGGGAAAACAAATTATTAAACTTCTCAATATTTGCATTTTTCCCATCAGCATACATCCCAAACCTGTCAAGCGAATGGCAGGGGGCGGCAGTGCCTGTTGCGTATCAGCTTTTGGAAGAAATCGGAACCCTAGCTTCCTGATGGCGTAACCATACTGCAGTTTCCATACCAGATCTCAGAAAAGATGCTCCCCAAGAGAGTTATTTATACAACTGTTTTCAGGTAAGTCCAGAATAATGAATACAGCTTGTGTTGTGTGTTATTTTTGCTCCTTGTTCCTCATCTCTAAATGCGTGTTATGTGTTTATCTATATGTTCTTCTGCTTCTGTTTGTAATTTTATGTAGTAGCATCTGTGAGTGGTAGTTTTGTATAATTGCATGTATATAAGTGAAATCAACAGTTGGGTTTTTAAGGACTGTTCAATAAGCAGAGGAGCTTTGGATGACTGTTACTAGTTCCTATGGATTGACTGCTATGCAACTGATACGTGAAGAGGGATTTAGTTAAACAGTTTTTCTAGGTGTTAGGATTGTTGCCATCTTTTCTTGGACTACTACAGAAAGAGAAATCTAGTTTCTTTTGGTTTGAAAATACAAACAATTAATGTATAGAACAGAACTGTCTTTTGGCTCACTGACTCCCCATCCCAAATGCATTTGGCTGCTCATCAGACATTTTCAGGCTCGGAAACAGTTATGGGAAGAACATGCGTGAATCCATCCTCAGACAGAAGTGTAAATGGTAATTCCACCACTGAGCTGTAATGTAAGGTAAATGACAATGTCCAAGAGAATCAGGGGAAAATAACTAGGGGAAATGTTTTGGAGTTGCTTATATATTGAGTTTTAGTTTCCAAAATATCATTGAAACAGACTGGGAGGCCATGTGAATGTTCCAAGTATCAGTCTGAAGCTAGGAGTGTAAAACTTCAAATGGTACATCTGAGGTACAGGAAGCCTCAGAAAGAAGAGGAAATCACAAAAGCCTGCTTTTCTGGAAAAAAAGAGGCACAAACCACCCAGAGTGGGTTATTGTTAATCCAGCTTTCAGCCTGTTTGACGCTGCACAAATGAGATTTGGCACATCACTAGTAAAACTATAATGTAAGACTTTGCACAGATTAATGTATAGATATGATTTACCCTTCTTGAACTATCTTTGCAAGGCTTAGATGTTAGAGATTCCTTCCAAGCCAGTGAACGAATGAATAGTAACATTATTATGGTCTAGGAGGACTTCTATATTTTCAGTCCTGTTCTGCGTAACAGTGCTTGCTCGTTAAATCTCAGTCCCATTGTGCTGGGTTTCGTTATGAGCAGGGAAGTCTCACCTCTGAAACGGAATATCCATTCCCCCAGTTGTGCTTGCAGATGTCTGGCAAATCGATCTGTCCCTCATCTCACCAGTCTCCCACTGTCTCAGCAGTTCATCATTTGTTGGTCCCAATGGCTGTGTCTCTGACTAGCTATCCTGAAATTATTAGAGGTTTACTTAAGCTGACATGAACAAGTTCTATTGGAGTTCCTTATCATGGAGTCAAATATGTTGCTCCTGGTACTTAACCTTATCCAAATATGGTTTGTGACTCATGACCAGGGAAAGGAACTACTTCTCTTAAGCTTGTTTCTGCAGTTTACACACTTTTGCTTAAGCATCTCTTAGACACATTTGTTTCATGTATTAGAATACAGCTTTTACTGACTACACAAATAAAAATCTTGCCAAAGTGAAGAAAAGTACTACACCTTTGGTTTTTACTGTTAGCAAAAAAGAGGGTCGATTTAATTCTTCTGCATAACAGGATATCTACTGTATATGAGTATGCTATAGTTCACTTTATTTATGCCAACCAAACTTACTAAGTCTACTTTTTTTACTGCCTGTACTTCTGCAAAGCTTAAAAACCTTCAGTAGAGTCAGCAACTATACACTGAAGTTTTGCATCTAATGCATAAGTGTGATGAATACAGTTGAAGATGTTAAATTCCACTTAATTGGTGATGTCTTTTCTTAAGCATTTATAGTTATCTTCTAACATTAATAAGAAGATGATTTTGAGGGGAAAGAAGTGATTTATTTTTTTTTCTTTTATCATTAACAATACTAAGCAATAGAACATTTTTGTATTTAGTGTTTTCCCTTGTTTTCATTGCTCCAGAAGAACATGCTTAGAGCTTCTTATGTTTCTTTTAGGAGAGTGTTTTCCTAAAAAAAGCTATTGCTAGGATTCAATTGTCTCATTGCTCATGAGACAACAGAGCAAATTCAGACAAATGTTGATAGAAGTCATATAAGCAGATGGTCCTGTACACTTTACTGTACAATGGTTAAGTGAAGAGGATGCAACTGCAGGAAGATGTGTTCTACTGTGATGGTTTACACCAACAGGAGCAGGTTCCCATGTCTTTCTCTAGCGAGTCCCAGCAGGCCTCAGAGAAAGCATGGGAAACATCAGTGAGGACAGTTATACAGTTACATGTCCATAAAGTGGGTTTTTCCTTTTCTATCTGGTTGGTTTGTTTACTTTCTCTCCAAAAGGACTTTGTTTCCAACTACAGAACCTCCAAGCTTAAAGGTACAGCAAGTCAGGAAACCATATCTTTAGTACAGGGAGATTGTCACATTCTGAAAGAAGCTGTTCTGATCTAGAGTTCTTCTTTATCTACCCCATCTCCCAAAACATCCTGAAAATGGAAACTCAGGGTTGAAGACAGGTATGTGTGTCACCCAAACTTAGGACCAAGGTAGGAGATGCACGCCTTCTAGACTTGATTATTTTTAGTGATAAACTGCGTTGTCTTATCTACAGAACATCCTTAAACTCTGTGTGTCACTATTTTGTGACAATGACTAGTTAAACACACACCAAATTTAGCATCTGCATGCCCAGCATGTGCTGTTATATACTCAGTGCTGCTCCATGAGCAATGCTAATTGAAAAGGCTTTAAGATAGCCTAGGCAAACTGCCTAAAGAGCTGTTCTGCCTGTCTTATCTTCCTGCAGCTGGTGATGCATTTTACACGTGAATGAGAGATTCCTGAAGTTGTTAATGCATTTTGGAGATGGAGAACTTGTGCTAATGAGGATTGCATGGAATGATATGGTGCAGAGCCTTGTGGGAATTCCATGCTTTTAAATAATCTCGTCACATATACTTCAGGAGAAAGTGCTAATTAAAAGTATAAAAGAGCGTATGTGGTATCTGTGAAGCTGTTATCCAAAGTTGTATTGCCGCATCTGTTGTGCGCTGCAGTTAGTCACAGTTTAATGAGAAAAGAAGATATCTGAGGTCTTCAATTCTAAAACTACAGCACCCTCCCTACACTTCCTCCTCCTCAGAAAAAGCAGTCACAGGTCACCTAATAGCTTTTATTTCCCTGGCTTCACAGTGGGGTGAAGGTTGTAGTTTTTGGGGTGTTTTTTTTTTGTCATTGTTGGTTGTTCCTCCCCCCTCTGCCCCATCCCTGGTATATGTAGGATTTAAATAAGTTAATAAAAATGTGAAGTTAATTATCACAGCTACAATAGCAAATCCTGCTTTCAGGCTTCGTCCAAACTAGGATTCAATCTGTACCATTTCACGTTGCTGCTATCTGCAGTTCAGAGCCATGATTAGACATCAGATCAATGGAAAACTCCTGGCCATAAGCAGTATGCAGGCATTCTTTCTGTTTCAGTGCTACCAAAAATTATTACAAGAAGTTATTATAAAGGGAATAATATTAATAGTGGAAAAATGCTGTTGATACTGGAAAAAAAATACAGTGTAATTTTCTATGTTGGTTTTATGATGTGTGTCCCATTTTAGAACATAAACTATAACTTATGGTGGTGCGATGATTTTTAGCAGCATCCAAAATCAGTACATTCCACTAATCTGTCTGTAGAAATCACAGTGTTAGAAAGAGGAAGAAAAGCAGCAGTGATTCTGCTTTTTTTCCTAACAGGTGTCTCATAGTTTTGAAAGCTAAAAGGACAGTGCACTTTGAGAACAGGAGAACGCTGTGAAGCCCTGTGATTTATAATGTCCTACTTTAGTGATGATGACTTTTTCTACCTTAGTGATGATTATTCATATTTTAATTGTTTAGTTACTCTGTCCTGTTGGTTTGACATTTCTTGGCGCTTATCTTTGCTTGCTGGAGCCCTCTTTCTCCGTGGTCCTCTCTTTCCTTTATGAAGTATTTTCCTTCCTAAGTAGGGGAGATGGGCAATTCTATCACAGATGGGGACCCAGGCCTCAGGGAAAACAGGTGAACTCCCCAGAAAGTGTCTGAATTTTCTACTGTCCAGTACATTAATTACTAGTCTTTCAGTTCCAGTGTATAAAATGAACTGTAGAACTGAATAGATGGGAAAGTATCTATGTTATATGGCTTTTATTAATGATGATTTAGCACTGAGTATACCAGATACTATTTTATTCTTCAGCTGTCATCAGAGGCTTATGGGATGCTGTTCATGAATAGTATTTCAGCATTAATGAATAGTATTTCAGTGTGCTATACTCATGGTTAATACTGGGTGAATTATTCATCCCAAGCTATACGTATGAATTTATGCTCCCCATTTCCAAGAGCACTAGTTATCATTATGCTTATTGAATAGGACAGTATGCTGCTTTCAAAGGGCTCTCTATTTCTGGGTTAGAAGATGCAGCTATGAATTGTGTATCCTGAGTCTTTTGTTTTCCCTCAGCGGTGATGCAGATGTTGTTCCCTCAGGAACAGCTCTGAGGAGTTACTCCTAATTATTTGTGTGGTAACTGTGGCTGGTCAGCTGAAGTGAAGGACAGGTTTCTGAAGGTGTGACCTTTCCCTGCAGGCAAACATCTTCAGTCAGAATAGTTCATGACCGATCAATTTGCAATTCATGCACTGGTGTTCAGGGGTCCTGTTTTGATCCAGGCCAACTTGGCTTCATGAATATTATTCATTGTGATCTTAGCACCTCCATTTGAGGTAAGCAAAGATGTTCTTGGCTTTGACTTCCAGCGTGTTTGTAAACTGACCTGACTTGAGCTGGAGGTGTTAATGTGGCCTGGCAGCTTGCCTGCCGCATCTACAGGGTAGGTAACCATGGCTTTCTGTGGTTTGTTTGACTTGCATGTGTAGTAGGGTACTGGGCTGCAGCATGTGCTGTGGTTTAACCCCAGTTGGCAGCTCAAACACCCCCACCCAGCCACTTGCTCCCACCTAGTGGGATGAGGGAAAGAATCA